GTGTGCATACATGTCCAAGATCCCAAGAGGAGAATGGAGGAGAAGGGATTGCGGCGTGGCCATCACCTTCTCGCTTTCTGTCTCTCTGTCTCTCTCTGTCTGTCTGGCGAGCGCACGCGCCCTACAGTGAAAACCTCTCCAAAAAAATACATATTTATATTTAAAACCATACAGTCTCTGTTGTTATAGAGTCACAAACAAAATTATAACAAATATTTTGAACATTATCTTTAAAATTCAGGTTTTTAAAGTTTTGAAAGTTGTTTATTAACTGTCAAGAACAATGGAGTATGAGCAAAAATTTCCTTATATGACTCACATAAGAAAAAGTCTTGATCCAAGGCTCCCTGAAGGCAGGGACTTTTTTACTTTTACTTTTTTATCCTTCATATTACTTTATATCACATTCATAAGGAACATTAAATAAATATTTGGTTAACTAACTGGTTAATTAGCCATTTATCAGTGGCTCTCATTAATAAGTGATAAAAATTTTGAATAATTTAATTGGGGTAAAGTGTCATTGCTACTCCCAAATTTGTAGAAATAAAGCAGAATCGTAATCTGCAAGAAGGAGTAGTAGTAATTATACATACTTCATTGAATTGTTATAAGCATCAAAGCAGATAGTAAACTGCAAAAGTTTACAAAAGTACTCATTGTCCCTGTTGGGTCACAGTGTAATATGAATCAAATACGGTCTTTATTTAAATGTCCTATTTGAAAACCACGCAGTTCAGGTAAAACACAGCTGAGAGGATCCACAATGTGCATGGCCTCATGTTGAATGGTGAGGAGTCTACACACTGATGTTAACACTTAGAAGCAGATTACGGTCCCAGGATGCTGGGAAGGTTGGAAAGGGGCCTTTGTAAATGTGGTATGGTGTCTAGAACATTAAGTTTGCTAGGAGTGTCAATTAGAGTAGCTTCAAATTTGGGGTCAGAAACAAAAGAAGAAAAAGTAACGAAGATTCCGAAGACTCTGCTCCACTCAAAACATTAAGGAGAAGAAAGAAAAAAATAAAAAGGTCAAGAGGTGAGGGATATGTATGTTTAGACATACGAGAAGACAAAGGAAGTCAATACAATGATGTACAAATCTGGACAGAACTTAAGTACAAAGTTCTTCCAGCTTACATAAACCATGTTCTGAGCATGCTCAAAGGGGAAAGACAGGCTTCTGAGACTCACAGCAGAACAAATATATTGTTATTGTAAACTTTTGTAATTTTTTCCAGTTGTCTGTCTGTCTCTCTCTCTCTCTTTCTCTTTCTCTCTCTCTCTCGCAATAACAATGCCCACTGACTTGACTTGGGATGTATGTTTTGATAGAATGCTCTTTTATTATTCTTTTTTTTAACTTTTTGCCATAAGGTACGTGCACTCACTGGAGAGAGAAAGAGAGGGAGGGAAAGTGAAAAATCACCCCCAAGGGGGAATGACTATGCTACCATTGGATAAAATTGGATTTTTCTAGAATTTTATCCAGTAAACACAACCTTCACTCTTTAGTCACTTGCATGTATAAAGAGAAAGTAGCCATCCTTTCCCCTCCATTCTCCTCTTAGAATTTTGGGCATGAACATACACACACACACACACACACACACACACACACCTGGCTTAATTTTTCAAGCCACTAGGTACAGGACTCGATCCTGACTGCCCATGTGGGAGTCCAGCACCTTACGCACCATGCCACCTGCAGGTCCTCTAGAACACTCTTAATACTAGTTCATGTCCAGCTTTTGCTGGAAGCTGCTGGTAGCTTACACCCAAAAGAACCATATACTGCTTTACGTGTATATCTCATTTCATTTCTCCAATCATTTCTGAACACAGGTTTCCTCCCTGGTTCCAAATTAGGACTTCTGACCAACATAAATTCTAGAATTTTATACAATAAACACAGGATTTACCCTTTAATCACTTGCGTGTATAAGAAGGGAAGTATGACATAATAGTCAAAAGCAAAATTTTGACATCAGACAGTTGGGATTTGAATCCCAACTCTGATGGTATGGGTATTGTGGGACCTTAAGTAGCTTCCCTGTCATGAGCTTAGAGAGAGAGGGATGTGAAGATGTACATTATATAGTATACATAAAGCTCTTGAAGGGAAGTCTGGCGTACAGCAAATTGTAAGTATTCGCCATTCTTATTTAATCTATTAGTATTGTCAAATGTCCAAGTAATTAACTAATCCTTTATCTAGAAGCCTAGTGCTTTCTTTATTCTTTTAACCATCCTCTGTTTAAATTTATGTGCATACACACACACACACACACACACACGTAATATACATACATATATATATATAGCCATACTTTTCTCCAAGTTGCAGACATTTCTGCATTTAGGATAATTTCCTACTTAGCCAGTAAAATAAAGTCACACCTAGGAAAACTTATAATAATTCTTTAATATGAGTCATTAAAATATCTAGTCCATATTTAAATGGCCCCAGTTCTGTAAAGAATGCTCATTTATTTCATGACAGAGAGAGCCAGAGAGGGCCTTCATCCACCCTCCGAGCCAAGCAGGGTGACAGATACACCAGACATATTCAGGTAAACTTCAAATCCAAACCCAGGCTCTGATGTGGCCCAGGGTCATGCAGTAGCATCCTCCCACCTGAACTGAAGCAATTGAGCTAAGAATGTTTTTAATAGCTGACATTTTCCAGAAAGGATTCAGTCCAAATTTATGTATTATATATGATTCTTTTGCCTCTGATAACTGCTAAGGCCACCCTAAAAAAAATTAAAAATTCTTTTAACATACCTGACCAAGTACAATACCTTATCCAGAGAAATTAGCGATCCCAGGTACCGATTCCTTTCTGTTTACTTCTGCAGCTCTTTAAGCAACTCAGAGAGACATCTGTTGTGGTTTCTATGGTTGTACGTCCATTAAATGAAACTTCATTTGATGAGAATGTGTACAGCGATATCTCTGACCAGCCTCATACACAGTGCATTCGTACTGGGAAAATTAACTTTGTATGCTGTAAAGATACACAGCGATTGAATATAAACATAAAACAATTTTTTTTTAATGAAAACAACAGCCTGGGGACCAGTGATTATAGATAGTACTCAATGCTGAAGCTTTCCTGGGAGTTTTTTATTCCTTTGTCCCCTCATTCTTTCTGCTTTCTTGTGTTTTGTTTTGTTTTGTTTTGTCTTTGCTCCTTCTTTCTTTTCACCACCGTCCTTGCTAGGTTCTGGGTGACACTAGCCATCACTCTGTCGGAATGCTTGTTAGATCCCTCGGAAGACATCAAGACCAGCCCCTAGCACCTGATGCAAAAACTGAAATCCCACAGGGTCGGTCTGAGATTGGTGGTCTCACCCTGACTCTCAACTCTTCCCAACCTAGGGCCAAGAAGACAGGCAGAGGAGGCTTTTAGTTTTACTGTCCAAATTATTAGAAACTGTGCAATTAAGCTACCTGATTATTCTACACACTACTCTTTAATTTGTCCAGCGCCCTTATGAGTCTATGTTCACTAAACTCTGCAGAATCATTTTGAAAGTAAAGTTTGAATTTCCTGAAAAGTGACTGAAAATTTCCAGCAGCACATTGGAAGAGGCTTCCCAGAGGAAAGGGTTTGGTTTGCTCCCTCCCTGGGGTCACAGTGTTATCTATTGACACATTCCAAAGCCTCATAAAAGCTGTCAAGATCATCAAGTACAGAAACTGCCCAAAAGAAACACCCATTAAGTATCATGGACTTCATTTTTACAGCTACTAATACCTTCTCCCTTTGAGTTTGCCCAGAACTCTGCACATAATTAAAACAAACCAACTAACCTTATTTCTGCTTTGCTTATATTTGCTGTGTGACCTTATGAAAGTCACCAAACCTTTCTGATCCTATTTTCTGCCTCCATTAGACCAAAAACAAAGAAAACTCACAGAAATCACAGAAGAATAATGCCCCATTCTAACAGTTGAACTGATTTAAAATATTTTAGTTTTTATTTCAAGAATATACCTGAAATGAAAGACGATTTACAGTTAGTGTTAATGGGTGAGTATTGAAAATATTGACTCTTCAAAAAGGATTCATTCATCTAACTAACATTCATAAAACATTCCTTTATGACCAAGTATCAATGAAGGGTCTCGGATTTTTCTGTAGGACAAGAGCTGAAATAAAATACGACGAATTTATAAGAAAAAATGTCTCTTTTCAATGCCCTTTAATCATCTTTGTATGGCCAGAATAAATGTTTCTACGTGCGTCTCTGCATCAAGTGTATCTGGAACATTTAAGCTCTGGTCCAAAAGTTTCTATCATTTTCCCAGTAGGACCTCATTTTCTCAGGGTGAATATATCTAGTTTTTGTCCAATAAAAATATTACCCGCTAAAAATGTTTTTAGCTTCCAACACGCAAAGCTTTATCTCAGCAACATGGGCATTTATTTCCCCACTCTTTCTCCTGAGTAATTTGGCAAATGCTTTTTCCCCCGTATTCTTTATTAGCCAACTACGAATCCGTTACCTTGGCTCACAGACACAGAGCTCTGCCTCGAAGGAACAGTGAAATAGCCCTGTGCTATGAAGTGTTTTGTAAGTGTCACCATGAATGTACTCCTGCCTTCCTCCTATCTTAGTTCCTCTTCCCTGTTGGTCTCTCTTCCCCTATCCGGCAATCTCAGTCCCTATGTATACTGTTAGAGAAAAATTGGGGAGATCCAAACAGACTGTCAGAGTCTAGAAAGTTTAAAAATATGGACAAGACATATTTTTTAAATACTGAACTTGAAACCCCGATTTCTAAGCGACTATTTTCAAAAGCAAAGAACAATATTTTATCTTGGAGTTACAGTAACATAAATAATAATGTTTAGACAAAACTTTCTGCAAATGTCTGAAGCCAAAGGGACAGGCTGGGTTCTTGCTAAGGCCTCAAAGAGAATTAGGGGAAAGTCAGAGATTTCCTGTCTTTGTAATGAGTTTACTAATTAAATCTTAATTGTAAACCAAGCTGAGCAAAATTTAAATGAACCTCTGGTGCCAGAAGCCAGGTTATTATGGTGGAATTGTTTATGAGGACAGGAAAGTGACTTTCTAAACATCAAATTCCTGTGCGTTAGCCAAGACCCAGAGGAAGTCCCCATGTGGGGTAGCACAGAAAGCAGCAGAATAAATGACTCGGGCCTTGAGATAATTAAATGACACGGAGATGTCCTGAGTCCCCTGAACTCGGTCATTGCCAGAGGCTGCAATCTCCCTGTTCTGATGGGCTGGAAACAGTGACTTCTGCAATAACCAGTGTGTTTTCCCCCTTTTACAACAAACAAATGGTCCAGCCATCTTGGCGGTGACTTAGCAGCGATGGAAATGGAAATTCCTCTACTTGTAAACTCTTACTGCTCTATAGAAAAATAAGCCTTGTAAATATGTAGACGCCCAAACACTGAAGAGAAACAAAACTGCCATAATGAAAGAGTGAAATAGAAAGTTGATTTTATTTCCTCATGCTACTATCCAGGGGACAAAAGGTAGGTCGTAAGATGAATAAAAACAAAAATTCTGTAGTTATACGCACAGTTTAACAGAATTTATTGAGTTGTCAGAAAAGTCATGATTTTTGCACAGAAAAACAGAAAAATACATCAGGACTTTTCCAACAACACAATATTTATTATAAGATAAGGAGGATGAATGATCCAAATGCTCCTGTTTGTTTTTTTATATATTCACTCATTTCTTTTTTATTTGTTATAGGATGTGTGCGCTCACCAGAGAAACAGAATGAGAAAACACCTCCCAGGTGGGGGTGGCCATACCACAATCGCTTCCACTGTATTCTCCTGTCAGGATTTTGGGCACATATGCATATGGGCCTGGTATATTTTTTAAGTCACTGAGTCTGGGACTCAAAACATCCAGTCAGCTATATGGGATCCAGTCACCTTAACTATTGTGTTACCTGGCTGGCCCTACATTCACTCCTTTAAAGAGAATAACTTGCACACTAATCTTTCTTTTAAGAGGCACTTATTTACAGCTTTGTTTTTTCTTTCTGTTACATGTGTTTTACCACTAAAACCTCATTTGCCATGGAAATGGATTTTCTATGGAGGTCCCTCATAAGTTAGCAACATGTCACAGATCAGGACCAGGTAGGAAATATCCTGTCTGAATCTAAAAGGAATTAGATTATAGAGGAAGTGCTGTCTTATTCCTGTGGTCCAAGGGCTGGCGAACTAGTGAATGTTGTCTTTAACATAACTACATTCTGACCCTTCTCCTCTTCAAGGAAACTGCTCAAACAAATGCTGGGAAGAATATGCTATAGACTAGAAGGTTAAAATGAAAGAGGCAATATAATCTTATAATATGTAGCATTTTATATATAAGAGAATTTGTTTCATAAGTTTTATAATTCTCAGAATGTAAAATGACTTTGCTATTCTACACACACACACACACACACACACACAAAGAGTTTTTCTTTTTCTCTTTATTCTCCCTTCCCACAGGTCTTCTCTAGCCCCAGGGCAAGAAAAACTGGCTTCAGGATACTCCAAGGGATTTGAGTGTAGAGTATGGCTCTTGATCAAGTTGAGTGGTCATACTTAGCCTCGTGTCATTCTCTACTTTCTTGGGTCTCACAGATATAGATGGCTCAGAGAAAGTCCAAATACTAACAAAAGCCATATTAAACATGAATGCTACTTGTCACCACTGTTCACAAGGCTATAATAGCACTTAAAAGAAGGCATGGGGCATATATAGTCCATTATTAGTGTTATTGTCACTTAACCTTTTAATCCAGAAGGAAAGAACCCAAGAAAAGCATTCTCTGGAGAGCTATATAAAACAAGCCCCCGCCATCTTTAATTTCTTTAAGTCATTTTCTCAATGAGTCTCACAAAGAATTTTAAACTCTCTACTATTTATTTACTCAGTAACTTAATTTGTTTTTACTGATCTTTTTTAAAACTCCCAGTTGTTATTTTTTTGTTTTGTTTTTAATGTGAGCCAGAATTTAAATGTAGATTTACATAATAAAACCTCAATTCATCTTCAAAATCTTTTTAAACTATTTTGAAAGATGTTTCAGTGTATTTCAGAAAGGTTTAGAATTCTGTCTTCCAAGGAAATACTTTATTAATCACCAGATAAACATTGAGATGGCTCTCTGTGTGTGCTACTACCATTGGTAGCTCCAAAAGGGCAGTTTCATTTCACACCATTGATCTATCTAAGAATGTTTTTCCAGAGGGAAAAAGTAGGAATCATCTTCATTTTAGTTATGGATCCGAATTTTAGAGATACATAGTATTGCTTTTTCTTTTTAGAAGCTTTTGGGTTTTTTCTTGTTTATTCTTTGAAGCCATGAGCTAGTTAAGTCTTTCCCTCACCTTCTCTACCATTACCAATGCCATGTCAACCAACCACTAAGCTGACCTTGAGGAAATTTACTAGAGAATCATCCAATTCTAAAAACCCTTAGAATCATAGATTCAGATTTTTGTCTCTGGGTATGGAGAGAGGGGTCAAGAGTGGTCCTTATAGAGCTTTATCTCCCCATCTTTTTTACAAAAGATAAAAGAAGGGTTTAACTGATCCAGTGTCTAACTGCACCCTCATAGCATGGTCTTACTTAGAACCCAAGCTTGATGCTCCACCACCAAAAGTCCTGTCCTTAGGCCTCTCCAACTGGATAGCGTTCTGGGTTAAAGAGAACTTCACAGGGACCAGCAGATGGCATAAGGATTACATCGCTGAACTCTCACATAGTCCATTGTGGTTCGAGTCCTGGACTTAGCAGCTTAAACGTCACACTGGGCACATGTGTATATGTGCCCAAAATCCCAAGAATGGAATATGGAATGGAGGAGAAGGAATTGAGGCATAGTCATCTCCCCAGGGGATGATTTCTCACTTTCTGTCTCTCTGTTTTGCTCTATCTCTCCAACAAGCACATATACCCTATAGCAAAACTCTAAAAAAAAAGAACTTTACAGGAATTCCTGGTGCCGTA